TAGAATAGTGCCCTTTCTCACAATTCCATCATGAGTTAGAACAATCGCTCCTCACTGAATATGAAGATCTATGCTTGAGGGAAGAAATACTCTGGTTGCAAAAAAGTCAGAGCCAATGGATCACTGATGGTGACCGAAACACCAAATTCTACCACACCAAGGCTCTAATCAGACGACGAAGAAATCAAATTTCACTTCTAAAAGATGACAATGATCAATAGGAATCTGACGAAACAAATCTCAGTACAATGGTGACTCATTTCTTCCGGCATCTTTTCTCGCTAAAGACCAGCCATACCCAGCGACCGAGCTACAGGTATACAAACCTGTTCCCCCAAACTTTTGATGTGTTGCTAAGCTCAACTACTTGTGCTGTTACCAAAGAAGAAGTTAGAAAAGCTCTATTTGAAATGAGCCCTTTGAAAGCACCAGGAGCTTACGGGTTCCATGTCACACCTTACTATTATATTGATTTAGGTTCCTTTTAAAACCATTTTTGACCACATTGGATGGTCTTGAGCTCACTTTATACCACAAAAACGCTAAATTTTAGATTTTTACTGTTCATCGGGTAAAAATCCAGTTTTTCTAGCCCAACTTTGAAAATTCATAACTTATTCCAAAAAAATCCAATTAGGGTGGTTCAAAATTATACTTAAATATATTTAAGTCCTCTTTCAAAGAAAAATAATCTCATTGTCCAATTCCTTATGAGAAAGCGTCAGGTTTTTGAGAAAAGCAACACTGTCCATTTGCCAAAAACCCTGATTCCCATATTCTGACCATCAACTTTGAAAAATCATTATAAATCTTATACTAGGCTATTTTTAACGTATTAGCTATCAAATTGAAGCTCAGGACGTTATCTTTCATCATGCCAAATTTCATAATAAAACGCATTCGGGAGCAATATCCAAAAGTCACGTGAACCAGTCAGGGTCAGTGTGCTTACAGCACTATTAGTTTAATATGTACATAACCAAAATGAGTTCACAAAATTTTGTGGCTAAAACCCACAAATTAGCCTTCAATATGCAGCTTTCCCTTGGAGGATTCAGGCCCTAAAATGTTAGATTGCATTTATGGAATGAGATTTCATTGAAATCCCAATAGCAAATTAACCAACTATATCACCAAGCAAGCATTATTATTATGCATGATCACGTTAGCTACTATTGATGAACTAACATGCTTATCATTTGGCAAACTCAATCATGCAAAGGCCAAAGCAAGATACCATAAAGAGCAACCACATAACAATCAAGAGAGCTCACCACAATAATAGCAATTAACCATACAATAATCAACAATGCTAGTTAGTGGTAGTAGCTAGGTTTAACTTGCTACCTTGCTCGAAAAGCTTTAGCTTTTCTTCCTTCTCCTCTTTTCCTTTACAAATATCAAAGCCTAACAATGCAATCCATCAAAAGGGGTAGCAAGAATCATTATCCAACCATGAAAAAGCAAGAACATAAATCAAAATGATTCTTGAACCATAAAGCTCCCTCCTTTGTTCACTATTTTTGAACTTGGTTCTCTTTAACCCTAAAAATCACTTCTTGACTTGTTCCTACATGGATTTTCATATAGATTCCAAAAATGGGCTTAGATTTATGAAAATAAAATTACTTCTTCCAGCCACAACCTGACTAAACCACTAGAGGTTTTAAACCAAAAATCACAACTTTGTTTTTAAGCTTCCAACACTTGTTCCTTTTAGTTTACCCTACACCATTCCTCATGTTAAGCATCATGGAAGCCTTAAAACATAGAAAAACTCATCCTAGGGTTCAGTCCTTCACTTGGCCAAAATGATCACTCAAGGAAACAACCATGAAAAATGCTTTAAAACAACCTATAGTTACTTGCAAGCACTAGGATCTAACTTGTTTTGTTGTATTTTAACAAGTGTGATGAACCAAACTCCTTTCCCCTTTTCATTAATCAGTTCGGTCAGCATCAAGAGAGGGAGGAGACAGATTTTTAACTATAAAAGAGAAAGAAAACAAAGTAAGAAACATCTAGAACCAACATCTAACCTTGAAGCCTTGCTTAATAATCAAAGGTGCTTGCTTCTTCTTGTTTTTCTCTCAAACTCTCTCTTTTTCTCTTATTTCCTCCCTTGGCCGAAACTTACATCTGAAAATAGGGGAGAGAAGAGCTTGATTAATGGTTCAAAATATCCCAACCACCTTCTTTAATGATAGTCCAAGTGTCATTACCCTACTAAATCTTGATTTCTCTTTCATAATTAACAAAATTCCAAATGAAATTAATTACTAAAGTCAAGATCATCTCTATTTGAGGAATGACACTTGGCAAATTCAAATCTTCTCCTTTAAGAGCTTGACACATGGCTCAATAGGATCCCTTGGATTTGCAAGACACCAATCTTGCTTTATCGGTATACTTTAGACTCTGAGTTTAACTTCTTTTCTACAATTACAGTAACTTAGCCTCTGTAATTATTTTCTGTCAAATCCTTAATTTAATCTTCTCATTTTTATCTTCCCAAATTGCCCTCTTTGCCTCAAAATTAATTTCCTAATAATTAATTAAAAAAGGAAAATTAATTTCCTTCTCTTTAGGGATTTTTCCACTTTCATCATTATTTGGAAAAATCTTGGATACTTGAGGGTCTTCATTTAATTCCATAATTCCTTATAATTCCTTGGGATCTCATAGAAATTTTCTCAAAATTTTATTTCCCTTAAAAATATTTATTTGGAATTTTCCAAATAAAATCCCTTAATTAGCCTAAATCACCCTTAAATTCTCTTATAATTTCTCTCAGGGTAATTTGGTCATAAAACCAAATTTATAATGTCATATAACTCTCAAAGGATATTATCCTCATTTTTCCTTAATTTTCCAAGGCTTGGATATATTTTTCATTATTTAAATTTTGACCAATTTTCCTTAATTAGTCAAATTTCTATGATTAGCTTGGAAAACTACTGTAATTATTTTCCACCAAAATTCTCCTTATTATTTTTAATCCTCAATAATTGAGAATATTTCTTGTTTCTAATTATCATAATGCTGGATGTGACATTCTATGCCCTGTTTTTTCAATCTCAATGGGGAGTTATCGGTGACTCTTTGCACAGTGAGGTAAGAAGTATTTTTGAAGGTGAAGATATTGCTACCTAGTTAAACAAGACTTTAATTGCCCTTATCCCTAAAGCGGATCACCCACAAACACTAAAAAAGGTCAGACCAATCAGTTTGTGCATTACAGTCTATAAACTAGTCACCAAAGTGGCAGTAAACAGCCTCACGAATTTGATACCCATTCTCACATTACCACCGCAAGCCAGCTTCATCAAAAGAAGAAATATAACAAACAATATTATGATAGCCCAAGAAGCTATTCACTCATTGCAGCACAAGACAGGGAAAGTAGGTTGGATGGCAATTAAGGTGGATCTTGAAAAGGCTTTCGATAGACTCCAATGGGATTTCATTGAAGACACTTTGAGAGAGGCAAAACTTCCAAATCCCTTCATCTCCCCCATTATGAGATGCATAACCTCAGTGAGCATATAGGTGATTTGGAAGGGCAAACCGAGTGAAGTGTTCTACCTGCAACGTGGGATTAGACAAGGGGACCCTTTGTCCCCAAACATCTTTGTGTTGTGTATGGAAAGGCTTTCACAAGCAATTACCAAAGAAGTGGAGAATAATGCATGGCACCCCATTCACATGGGAAAGAAGGGACCTCTGCTGTCTCATCTTTTCTTCGTGGATGATCCGATTCTCTTCAGCTCGGCAAAGAAGTCGCAGGTTGACCTAATAAGGAGATTGCTAAATGAATTCTATGAGGCTTCAGGGCATAAAGTAAGCACATCTAAAACGTGAATCTTCTTCTCTAAAAATGTGAATGCCCAGGCAGCAAATGCCATTTGTGAGCAGCTTGGCTACCAGAAAACGAGACACCTTAGGCACTACCTTGGTGTACCCCTATTGCATGAGCATGTAACAAAAGACACCTACGAGTACATTGAGGAGAAAATGCAATAGAAGCTCTCTGGATGGAAGGCCCACTCTTTGTCACTAGCTGGTCGAATCACTCTAGCTCAATCAGTCCTTTCCACGGTGCCGCTATATGCAAACTACCAAAATCCCAGCTTCAACTAACGCTAAGCTCCAAAGCATTATTAGGAATTTTATATGGAGATCTAATGATGATCACAAAGGAATCTCCTTAGTTCAATGAAAAAATGCCTGCCAGCCCAAAGAAAATGGACAATGCAATATAAAAGACCTAAGCCATCACAACTCAGCCTTCCTGATCAAGGTTGTGGTAGCTATAATGACAAAACCAGAATCATTATGGGTTAAAGTACTTTGTGCAAAATATGATTGGCAACCAAAATCAAATCAACTGTCCAAAGTCAAAACAGCCTCCCACCTATGGAGGAGCTTATCTCTAGTTTGGGAGAACACTGCCTTAGGCATTAGTTGGACTATAGGGAATGGATGCCAAACACGATTTTGGACAGATAATTGGGTAGGTAATCATGGCCCACTAAGGCACCTCTCCTTTGAGCCCCTAGAAAAACATGAATTACAAAGACCAATCGCCCAATTTATAACCTCAGATGGCCAATAGGACTGAAATAAGTTTGCAAGCAAGCTCACCCAAGAAACTGTAGACCAGATCACTGCCACACCTACCTTTAAGCACAAATCTGCAAGCAAGGTTCTATTGGCAAGCGGAGAGAAATGGTGAAGTCTTTGTTAAATCAACATACAACCTACTCATTCAGAATGACTTGAACGAGGAAAACAACAAGTGGATGTTAGCATGGTGTTATCCTGGACCGAATAGAGTCAAGACTTTTCTCTGGCTAGCTATAGAAGAAAAGCTCTTAACAAACAGCGAGTGAACAAGAAGACATATGACGAGTAGTGCCTTCTGTGGGATCTGTAGCTCGAGCACAGAAGACGTGGATCATGTCCTACGGTGCTGTAGGTTAGCAACTGAGTGCTGGAAGCTCATCATGCCTTCCTCACACCTGACACCCTTCAACTTACTCTGCTTGTCAGACTGGTTCTAGGAAAATCTCAGCTGTAGGAACCCCAACCCTCGATGGTGTGTGCTGTTTCGGATCCTGTGTTGAAAGCTATGGCATGCACGCAATACTTTCATTTCAACAAGGAGAGGACCTTTTGTTACTAGCTAATCAATGAGGCTATCTCTTTCACTAATCATATTATTAGAGCTAAGGACTTTTGTAGCCATTTGAGTTAACTTTCTAGCCCAGATGTTCTGGACTTTTCAGTCTTTACTTTTTCAATAATGTAACCATCTTGTACATATCTTTATTGCTGAATGAATTCCTTTTCTACTAAAAAAAAATGACACTCTAGGTTTATAATGCCCAAAACCCTATTCATTGTGAATCTCGATTTGCACGAAATTGAGTGAGAAAAGCTCTTTTAACCATGATAGACATATTTATAGATTGGTTTAATCCTTTTCTGTCATGGTTAATCTCATGTGATTTGGGATGTTTATATAACCATGATAGTATGTTTAAATATTTTACAAAGTTTCTTTCCTCTCATGGTTAACTTTTCAATACTGGTTAATTTAAAAGCATAGTAGTTTCGTTGCTACAACAATGAATAATTAGGAAATAACAAATTTAAGATTAAGATTAGTGAGATGTTTTTCCTGCTACTTTTTAATTATACTAGTTATATTATTTATAATTGATAAAAAGTATTTTTAATATGTGCATCTATATAACTCATTGCATATGGCCCAAACATGTGTGAAACAGGTGTGAAAGAAGGGAACAGAATTCCCTTTTCGTCCCAAACCTTCTCCCCATTTTTTTAGCTTCTTTACTCAACACACTTATCCAACATGATTACTGCCCAATTCAAAGAACTTAGGGTCTGTTTGGTATGAGAAAAAGTGAGAAGAAGGAAGGGGAGAAAAATTTTAATAAGCTCAGTTTAAAAAATTTTAAAAAAAAAGGAGTTAAAAGCTTTTAATTAATTTTTATTACTCTTTTGTATTATTTTTTTATTGAAATTTCAAAACCCCTTTTTTTTAATTTTTTTTAAATAGATGTCATTAAAATTTTTCTTCCCCTCTCCCCTCCTCCATTTTCTTCATGCCAACCAGTACCTTAATGTCAGGTTGATATTTGCATCCTAACTCCGGTTTGTCATTCCACAATTAGGCTTTATTGGTCGATACGGAATATTGTCATTTTTTAATTGATTTATTTGAGTGGTCATGAAGGCGCATTTCTCCATTGTCATTTTTCATAAACTTTCAGGCCAAAGTCACTTGGCAAAATATTTTAGACACAAATGTTTGATTTTCATTTTTATTGTAATATTTTTCTTTTAGATACAAGTATCTTCTTATTCTTATTCAAAATAATAGAATTCAAAGAAACTCTTAAGTATTAAATATAAACAAATATCCTAATAAAAATTTAAATTTTAATTCGTCACAGAAATCAATTCTTTCTGCTTAACCCGTATTTTTAGTAATGATTTTATCCGCAAGGCCTTTTAGTCCACTGGCTAAGATATTTCTTTTTTTTTTTCCAAATAAATTCTTAATGAGTATGATAAATGTACACGCCCTTCTTCATGAGTGAAGGATGATCGAAAGAACAGAGACAATAGGTATAGCCCCAGGTCCCCCAACTAGAACTACAGAATTTCTTTCATCTGTCCTTTTAGAAGTGTAGATGAAAATTAGACCGATTATTAAATCGGTTGAGACAATAATTTAAAATTTAGTGCGTCAAGCCCAAAGTCATTGATAAAATAATTTAATTAATTAAAAATATTAATATTTGAATGTAAATAATTAAAATTTTCAAATTAAATTTAAAACATGCTCATGTGTATGTTAAGGGACCGTTGAGGGGGTAGAAGGGTCATGTCCTGTTGAGGGGGTGCGAACCAACTCCCAAAAAAACATGTCTGCCGAGGTGTTTTATTAATAGTTTGCATTGTCATTTGTTCAATCTGGATTTATGTGTGTTTTTATTTTATTTTATTTGATGGCGAGAGTTTTCTTTTTCATCTTTTTTTTAAATTTTTTAGACAAATACTTTTTTAATTTTCTTTATAAATCACTTTTAACATGTTTTACATAAATTAAAAGAAATTTAAATTTTATTAACTGTTATTTAAAATTCAACAATTTTTTTAATTTTTTTCTGTTTAATATATATTATATATCATGTAAATAAAGTTAATACAATAATAAATAAAGAATAAAATTATACATTTACATAAAAAATTTCTTTCAATACCATATAAATATGACCAAAAAAATATTTTTTATCCTATAAATAGGATTAGAAAAATAAGAAATGTACTACTCCTCCGATCCTTAATATAAGACCCATTTAACTAATTTAATTAGATTAAGGAAGTTAAGTAAGTTAGTTAATTATAAGAAAAGTGATACATTTTTCTTAAAATACCATTATCATCTTTCTTAATACCACATCTCCTTTTTCTACTTGATTATAGTTGAGGGAGTATCCATAAAGGGTAATTTAAAGAAAATTGATAAATATGATAAATGAATCTTATATTTAAGACTAAAATCAACTCAAAAATTGAGTCATGTATTAAGGACCGGAAAAGTAGTACATTTTTTATAAAAATATATATGCCACTCATCTCTCTCTTCTTTATTCCATAGATTCTCCTTAACATACTTTTTATCATGATTCTTGATGATTGGCTAAGAGCTATGTAATATGAGATAGAGGCCCTAAAAAATATTAAGACTTGGGACATTGTTCCTCTCCTTAAGGGTAAGAAACCCATGGGATGTAAGTGGGTTTATAAAATTAAATATAAATCAGATAGAACAATAGATAAATAAAAAGAAAGACTTGTTGCTAAAGATTACAACCAAAAAGAAGGAATCAATTATCATGAAACATTCTTTCCCGTTCTTAAAATGATAACAGTAAGGATTGTGCTTAAATTAGCAGCTGTAAATAATTGAAATATGTTTCAAATTGTACATAATGCCTTTTTGTAGGGTAATTTAGAAAAGGAGGTTTACACCACCATGCTCTAAGACTTTGAGAGCAAAGGGGAAAATATGGTATTTAAGCTAAAACAACAAAAAAATCATTATATTGGCTCAAACAAGCGTCAAGACAATAGAATCACAAGCTTATGCAATTTTTAAAAGATAGTGGGTTTGTGCAAAAAGTAAGTATGATTATTCTTTGTTTATAAAGAGGTTCGGACATGATTTTGTATTAATATTGGTTTGTGTTGATAACCTTCTTATCACTGGAAACAATGATCAGATAATAATAGAAGTAAAGGAATATCTCCACAACAAGTTTAAATCAAAGATTTAGGAGAAATAAAATATTTCTTGGGTATTAAAATTGCAAGATCCCAAAAGGGAATAGTTCTTTCACAAAAAAATTGTGTTCTGGATTTGATGGCTGAAATAGGTTTAAGTGGTTGTTACCCACATAGTGTCCTAATGGGTCATAATGGTAAGCTATGAGGAAGGCAGAAACAAAAAAGCATATATGTACCCAGACCTAGTAAAACATAGAAGATTGGTAGGTAGACTAACTTATCTTACTGTTACATGTCCTGATATCATTTTTTCTATGCAAGCTTTGAGCTAACACATGCAGCAACCCACCAAAAGACACATGGCAACTCCATTAGGAGTTGTTAAGTACCTGAAAAATGATCCAGGCTTTGGAATACTGCTTAGCTCAAAGGAAGACTTGGCATCAAGCTACTTTTGTGACTCGAACTGGGGAGCTTGTGGAACAACACGTAGATCAATTATTGGATATTCATTGAAGCTTGGAGATTCACTTATAATGTGGAAAACTAAGGAGCAAAATATAGTTTCAAGATCATCACAAAGGCTGAATACAGAGCCTTATGAGTAATGTTATCTAAAGTACGTTGGGTCAAAAGATTGCTAATAAAGTTGAGAATTCATCAAAGACAACTAGTGAAAGTCTACTATGATAGTAAGGCAGCCATACACATAGCCTCAAATCTAGTGTTTCATAAGAGAGCCAAACATATTGAGATAGACTACCATTTTGTAAGGGAAAAGCTATAAGACAAACTAATTTCCTTAGAGCATGTTTGGTCAATAGAGCAAGGAACTGACATTTTAAGTAAGCCTATAGGAAAATATCATCAATTAAAAATACTCAGCAAGTTAGGAAGTATAAATGTTTACGGTCCTAACTTGAGGAGGAGTGTTAGAGTCAATGTATTAAAGTTAGGCATTGGCTATTGGGCTTACAGGTCTTTGGGCCCAGTTTTGTTGTAAATATATTTGCCAAGCTTGTACTTGAATAGATCCTCTCATGTGTTGCTTTTTTTTTTTTTAGACATACTTATCTCTTTATTAGAAGCAATTTTGTTTAAGGTACTGTTTGACAGTAAATATTGGCACCTTTTTTAATAAGTATTTGAACCTGAATTCACTACATTATGAGGATTTGATGTATTGCTTTGCAGTGAACTAAAGAAATTTTGGTTCTCGCCACTTCTTGGACCATTTTTTACAAGTTGCGAGGCGAAAACAGCAATAGAAAGCCTTGAAGTGGTCAAAGGCCTTGGCTAAGAATAATAGAGCAATGTTGCAAATTGCAAAAATGAAGAATAAAGCGATTCTCGCGCTATTGAACCATAGAGGTCCGGTCTTGAAGACAGCAGCATAAATTGATGAGCAAATTAGAAATGGTTCCAGCAACAATTCAAACGCTTGGGATTGGCCCAAGGAAGCAACGTTAGCAAGAGAAGAATCAACAGGATAAAGATCAAGAGAGCAGGAAAGACCAGAAAAAAATATTAGAGAGGAGAACAAACAGAAGCTTGCAAAATATGATACTATTATTATAATATTATTTTTTTAAGAAAATTTTTTATTTTTTAAAAATTTATTCAGCACTAGACCAAACCTAGTCTTGTGGACAAAGCAGGGCACTAGATTGATGCTAATAATCAACTCAACTTTATTCGATTTTTGTATTGTTGGAGACTGGATGATCACCACCTCATGAAAAAAAAAAACCTTGGATTAAAATCTAAATGCATATATAACTATTTCTATTTAATAGATAGTGTAATAATAAATATAGTGTGTGTGTGTGTAATGTTATAGCCAACCAGTGACCTAAATGTTCTTAGGCTTGTTTGATGCAAAAGGCTAGGGATTGAGTCAATTTTTTTTCTGCTAAATAGATATATCCTTTTATTGGAGACAATCCTCTTTGAATCACTAAATTGAGATTGATAATAACCTGGCCTTAGAGAGTAGAGATTGGACAAGCCCACCTCCCACCCGGACCTGGTATTTTTTTTTTTAAAGCTTTGGGATTGATAATGCAGAGAAAAAAATATAACCCCGTTTATTTTTAAATTTTGGACAAGACTACCCTCCAAATTTTGACTTTGACTCATTGTCAACCGCCGCCGTCTGTGTCTCCCGCTCTCACTCCTCGACCGCATCCGCCGTCGAAGCCAAAGCGAAATCACAGCCACAGACTTGCCGTCGCCGTGGTCACTCCCTCAGGGTCATCCGTCGTCCAAGTCGAAGCAGAACCACAGGTCCACAGCCACAAACTCCATCTCTCTTGGCCACCCCAGTCTGCTCTCTCCGGCCTCCTCACTCCTCAGTTCGCACTCGAGCCTTGAGTCATCGACCACCCGGTCACCACAGTCTCAGCCTCTTGCCTTCATTCCTATCTTGCTTCTTCAACCTAACATGCGGGACCGTAATATTTCTTTTCATGTGGTTCGGTTTTTGTATTCCATTCGATTTAGTTTCGGTTTTTAAATTGAAGCTTTTCGTTGCCACTCAACAGCTGCTTCACGATCCTCCTGTACGGTGCCATTTTTGTCTCCAAGAACCCCTTATACGAATCTCTTTGCTTCCTTCACAGTAAATATAGCCCACAAAAAATAGGCATCATTTTGATACAATTCTTTACAGCAAGTACCTGCCAACTTATAGCCCTTCATGAGCTAGCCCGACACTCTTCTTTTTTTTTCAACAATTTTTATTTTTATTTTAATAAAAAAGTTTTATTATTTTTATTTAATTTACATATAACTTTGTATTTTGTTAGAGATTTTGATTTTAAATTGATTTCTCTTTTTTTTTATTGTTTTACCATTTTTATACTAATAAATTATTATTAACAATGAATTATATATTTATATTTTAAATTTTGATATTAATTTAATTATATAATTACATGAAAATATAAGAATAAGAAAATTTGGCCTATAAAAATTTATAATTTAATTTAAAAAATTAAATGTATATATATATATATATGAAAAAAAAAATTTTAAGATGGAGGCTGCCTAGGGGTGGGTTGGCAAAATATGAGTCCAGAAGGTTTTTTTTTAGGACCGGCCCGAATAGTTTTAAACCCGTAGTGAGCTGGCCCGTAACCGGCAGGCCAACCCATTTTATCACCTCTAAAGTCAGATTTTTAACATTGATCTGTAACTACCCAAATCTCCCACTCCACCAATCCATGCCGCATGGCCCCTTCAGTGCCTTCTCCTCCCCAGAGCTTCAAGCTCTCCATTAGGGACGACCGAATGGATGGCAAAGATTGCGTGAGGGAGAGCAAGTGTGCATTCCTTGTGGTAGCTCTCTGCCCGTCTCGTATGTTTTATTCTAATCCTGATAATTCCGAGGCATTTGCAAGTGTTGCTGGGGCTGACGAAGATGAGGAATGGGAGGTTGAATCTGGAAATAAGGATGATGATAGTGATCGACATTGTGATGTGGTAGAAATCATAAAGCTAAATCCGGTGTTGACCCAGATGAAGTTGATAAGGTATGCAGGCTAAATCACCAGCATATTGGTTCTTTTGCTAGGCAGGTCAGAGGCCAGGTTTTGCCCATAATTCCATGACATGTAACTCAATGATGAATATTCTTGGGAAGACTAGATAGTTTGAAACCATCATGGCTATGCTTGAGGAAATGGGGGAGAAAGGCCTTTTAACAATGGAAACTTTCATTGCTATCAAAGCCTTTGCTGCTGCAAAGGAGAGGAAAAAAAGCTGTTGGGATCTTTGATCTGATGAAAAGGTACCAAATTAAAGTGGGTGTTGAAATAAAGATACTCTTGGAAGGGCAAAACTTGGTAAAGAAGCCCAGGCCATATTTGAAAAATTGAAAGATTTACACTCAATTTCCAGACATATACAGTGTTTCTTAGTCCCTGTTTACCATCACGATTGAAATTATTTATAAGCACGTTTCACATAAGTTGAGACAAAACTCCTCTCACATAGTTAACTCGTATTCCGTAAATTACGATTGAAAAGCTACTTATAAGCTATGCCAAACAGCCATGGTTGGTGCAGGGTTAAAGGCTTGATGGAGGCAGTGAAGGTACGGAATGAGATGATTGATAAGGGATTTAAGCCAGATGCTGTTGCACATAATGTTATGCTTGAGGGTCAAGAAGAAGTCTGATGCAATCAAATTATTTGAAGTCATGAAAGATAAAGGTCCATTTCCCAATGTTCGGAGTTACACAATTGTAATACGAGACCTGTGGAAACAAAAAATGATGCGAGGAGCAGTTGAGTATTTTCATCAAATGATCGATTGAGGGTGTCAACCAGATGTTGCCATCTGCGCGTTTGATCAGTGCGTTTGGAAACCAGGAGCAAATGGATGTGGTATACAATCTACTGCAGGAAATGAGGGAGAAGGGTTGGCCACCAGATGGGAGGACCTACAATGCATTAATAAAGTTGAAGACAAGTCAACATATGTCCAATGATGCGATGAGAATATACCAGAAGATGATTCAAACAGGTATTGAACCAACAATTCACACTTCCAAGTTACAACATGATAGTGAAGTACTTTTACGTGACGAAAAATTATGAAAGGGGTTATGCACCTTGGGATGAGATGCGTCAGAATGGTTTCTGTCCTGATGACAATTCACACACATTATTAATTGGAGGGCTTATTAGACAAGGAAGGTCAGAAGAGGCATGCAAATTCTCAGAGGAAATGATAGAGAAGGGAATGGAGGCATCACAGCTTGATCATAACAACTTTGCTGCTGAGTTCTCTAGAGCAGGGAATTTTCTGGTAAACTTGAAGTTTCCAATGTCTTTGCCAGATGGACAGAGATGATGAAGAAAAGGGTCAAGAGAAGAGAGCCATCATTGACATTTCCCTGCCTTGTATATTCGACCTCAGGATAAGTTGTGTATGCTCGGTATGTACCCTATGGTTATGCATTACTTGGGGCCTTGTGCTGCGGCTTCATAGTTGGTGTCATGTTTAAATGTGCTTGTGTGTGTGCGTGACGTTTTTGCAGCATGCAGATATTTTTTAAATGACCCTTTGGGGACTTCGATAACGGTACAAAGATTAGGAATGATTTTCTCAATCCAAAACTGTTAATTTACATTCTCTCATATGGGCTGATCTTGTCAATCTTAAACTGTTACATTCGTGTTATAGGCACCATCACAATCCCAGCCACCAACCATTGTCAACAAACGTCGTTGGCCAGCGTCCCCCACATTGGTCAACAGCTGCTGACTGGAGGTGGCCATCAACAGTGATTGTCGATGGTGATTGGCTAAAGACTTTTTTTTTCAGAATGATTGTTTAAATAATTTGTTTACTGAAAAACTGGTTTCAAATTACTATGGCCAAGTTATCGAACAGATTTTTCTCGTTTTAGCTTGAAAAACAACGTTTGAAAATTTATATATAAAATCGTTTTTAAAAATTAAAAATGGGTAGCAAAATCAGGCACGCCCTATTATTGAATTCTTCCAACTTAGACCAAATGTATTTTGTATGCCATACTATATTTGGATCGACGTTAATTCATTAAGTTTTTGTTTCATGTATGTATTAATCCATTGTTCAATGCTTTGTTCACTGATTTGAATGCACTTTCAATAGAACCCAGAATAATTAGCCCAAAAAAAGGGGAAACAAGACGAAACGATATAACCCAGAATGGGAACATAGTCAATTGAGGCGTCTAAGCGAAACACAGAACAAATTACACAAAATCTACAAAACTATGCCATACTCTAAATTTGAAAATGCCTTCTGACGAAAAAGTGCATAACATTGAGACAACTATAGAGAATTCAGAGAAACCAATCTAACCTGTACAATACACAAAAGAATTATACAGCTGTGTCCTGTGTAAGTCAATAGAATAGTTAGTGGTGTTAGCAATAAAAGGGGGGGAAAACCAGATAATATGAAAAAAAAAACTGTTTTGAAACTTGACATTAAACCAAAATAAACTATGTTTGGAGTATAGATCTCATCTTACAATTACAAGAAACTTGTGTGTTAACAGAGTTTGTCTCATGATCTTACTGCCGCATAACCTGACACTGAAACTGATTTCCTTTTTCTCCGATATATGATTGATCCACTGATGAACAGCAACAAAATCACAATCCCCTGTCCAGTGTTTCACAAAATTCACGTCAATACTTATTCTCAACGGTAGTTTAACAGTTAAAACGCAGAGTACCAGGTATATAATTCATAATTACATATCCTCCTCAACATCTATTTGGGCAGGGGAAAAAAAATGAAAATAGGTAGAAAAAGGAGGCCCATGGCCTTCAAATTGGGACAAGTCTTCTTATACCTTCCAATCATACATAAGTTTTCTCTGATAGAATTTAAAAATTTTGGCAGAAGAATGAAAGTTTGAGTGCTTGCTTTCATGACACCCTGCAATACTAGAATGTTCATTATGACAGTGATGCTTACAGAATATACAGTAATTGATTAAAACAACAAATCAGAGACTTGCAGGCAATGATGTCAGCATAAGGTAGTGGTTGTCAATTACCATCAATCATCAACATCAGTAGTTAGCAGTTTGATAAGCACAGAAAACTTCCCAGACAGATAAGGATGACAAGCAACATGACAAATCTTTTAAAATACTACTACGTCCAATCTTTAATATAAAAACTTGTTTGATTTTTATTTTCGTCATAAATATAAAACCCTAATCCGTTTTGCCTCTCATATTTATTCATTTTTTTCCCAAGCTCATCCTTATAATAATGGTAGTTCTAACCAATACACTTGATTAGCAAAGATACTGTAGGAAAAACAACACTTATTTATTACAAATAACTAATTTAACTAGTTTCCTTAATCTATTTAAATTAGTCAACTAGCTCTTATATTAACGATCAAAGGTTGTATTACTTAATGGATTATGTAAGGACCAGCGAGTGAAGAATTAAAGACAACAAGTTGCACACATCTCAAGCTGTGTATCCATACATAGATATGAGCATGCCAAATTAAATTGCTCTCAAGTTTCAACCAAATTGTAAATTAATCTTCTTCGACATGGACATTCCTCTAACACTTTTGGAGTGTGGAGGATAAAACTTGATGCCCAATAATACAATCGCAAAGGTTCGCTGACAGCGAAACACGCAGGAACCATAACTAATAATAACTGATGTGTCACTGTGGTCTGCGGTCTAGTTCTAGTGCTAGCAGAGTAAAAGCAATTTAAAGCAGAAGGTAAACAGTAGATGGGTGAACACGGACTCAGTTTGTTTTATAGTGTTATCACTTATCATCCCACTTCAAGAGGCATCAGATGGATGCCTCTTGAAATGGAACTCGGACTAAATATGAAGGTACAGCACAAGAAATGTTCTTACTCTTGGAGGATCCAACATCTTAGGGTCCATTTGGGATAACGATGAAAAATACTTATAAACACGTTTTATATAAGTCGAGACAAAATTCTTTTCACATACTTACCTCGTACTCTGTAAATCATAATTGAAAAACTATTTATAAGTTATTCCAAATAGCCCATTAGACATGCCAATGGCTCTTAATCGATGATTAACACTTGGTTTTGCTTCTTCAAACATTATACTCCGGAAACACTGCCCTTAAAAATGGTTGATGACTTTGAGCAATTTCAGCAGCCCTACTCGAGACTATGTTTATTACTCATAGTACATACTTTCATTGATGTCACAATCACATGCATGGTTCTGCCAGTGGACAATCTTGAAATTAGGGGGGGGGGGATCTCAGCAGAAGATCGTCTTTTAGTTGATGACATGGTTAGTTCAACAGCAGATAACATCAAACTTGATGTATGAACTAAGATAGTCAAGCCAAGCCAACAAAAAACTGCAAATGGAAGTTATGTGTAAAAATGTAAATTACCTCAAAACCAAGGACTGACAGCTTGTCTTCAGTAGCTGAAGGTATACAGCTTCTATAAGTTATGTAAGCCTGCAACCCGTTACCTGAAGTAGATGAACCATCCAGAGTAGACTGAGCATTTTGAGAATCTGTTTTCTTCGAACTCTTCACAGAATCTTCATTTTCTATACATTTCAATGGAATTCGGTAGCCAGTTTCACTGCAGCGATATTTCTTATCACCCTTTAAACCCAAAGAAACACATTAGAATAACAAAGAGATCAAATTAACAACGAGGCAAAAGGCACTTCATAGGGATCACGCAAAGAATAAAAAGATCAATCTCCAATTTCAGAAGAACAGAAAAGCTACCTTCTCCGAATAGAGGCAGGGAACGCAGGGTCCAGAAGGAGAGCATTCAAATGTGACGTTGCTCCCTGGGGGCTTTTCCTTGAAACTCATTAGAACTCTGCGTCCAAACCCATTTTCAGATCCCTCGCTTCTCCAATCTCTGCCCGATCCAACCAGAACAAGACGAAAAAGGTCCAAGTTCAATAATCACAATTCACACAGATCATACAAATCAGAACGAAATTGAAACAAAAAGAGTAGAGCTCACATTTGCTGCCCTAAAGCGGGGAGTAGAGTTTCCGAGAACACGGCGATGCTTAGGAATAAAAAGATAGGACAAAACAGCTGGGAATTTGCAAAATTCATTGCCCTTACTTTGCGGCTCCTTCTTCTTCTTCGCTCCCTCTTCAAATAAGTTCTGCTCGGAAGAGCATGGATATCAAACGACCCCAGTTCTACCCTTTTTGGGCTTTCCAAGAACGCTATAAATATATATATATATATATATATATATTTTTTCTTTTTGAGAAAACCATTCTTGAGGTAACCATAATTTTTTTTAATTTTAATTTGTTATACTTATGAACTTTTCTCATATTAAATCATTTAATTTTACTTTATTGGCACAATTACCCTCTATTTAGATGGAAAGAAAAGTTGAGAAGAAAAAAAATAAGAGAAGAGAAAATAGAGAGAAGAAAAAATTGGAGAGAAAATATTATCACCTCTTATATTTGGATGGATAAGAAAAAAAAGAAAGGAAAGAAAATAAATAAATGTATGAATAACTAAAATATCCTTTCTGTTATATCAAAATATATCTTAATTAAAATCAAATTAAATATTATAATGAAAAACCATATTTACATTAACATAATCATATAATTTAAAATCAAGTTATTTGATAAAGATATATTATCATGTTATTACATTTTAATATCAAATAATTTTGTAAAAAAAGAAAAAAAATAACATTTTGTGTAATGTAATGCTAAAAAAACCATAACAATAACTGTACTTATTTTTCCTTTTAGTTCATTTTAGAAGGATTTGTGCAATTTTAGTTATTTTATTTTTCAATCAAGCAAACACAAAAAAAGACTTGATAACAATAAATAAAGTGAAAAAATAAAAAAATAAATAGGTATTATTTTGTTGAAAAAACATATGTAAGGGTAAATAGGAAAAATATGTTTCCTTCTCATTTTCTCTTCATATATGGAGAGAAAACTTGGGAGGAAAATGGACTATAGAACCCACTTTATTTTCTCTCCAACTTTTCTTTCCTTTCACTTTCTTCCCTCATCCAAATAGGAAAAAAAACCACTTCTCTTCACATTTTCTTTCCTAGTTTTCTTTCCTTCCTCTTTTTCTCTCTATCCAAATATAGCATTAGTTTTTGTACATTGTCTAATGCAGAGCAAAGTTATAGAAATTTATGATATTATAGTAATAAAATTAAAATTAGTTTTTAAACTTTGTTTTTTGGGATAAAGAACCAGAACCTAGGGTGCTTGTAGTTGGAGACAGAAGGAAGATCAAAATTGCAGCCGCATGTTCCTCTTAAACTAATCCTCTTCTTTGGTTTCTAAATGCAATATTACAAAAATATCTCATTCTCTTGTATTGCTTTCTTGATTGCTTAAAGAACTTGCCATTGCCCATAATATATTCAATTATAAAAATTCTTTCTTTTTCCCACACGTGTTTTTTTATTACGTTGATTCACTCCTCTCCTGCACATAAATATCACTTACCCACCATAATCGATCCCATTGCAGCCCCTCTATCGCCGTCCCTGGCCGCCATATCCGATCTCTCTTCTGTCTCCATCTACAGTCTACCGTTGCCCTGGGCTCTGGTTCTGTTTTTTTTTTTTTTTTAAAAACACTTAATATTTTTTTTAAAAAAAAAAGCACTTAACAGGACCGACTAACAGTGTGTTGAAGGTAATTGCTGAGATGAAAAATTAGTATAGGTAGCACACTCTTATTTGTTTCATAAACTAAGAATATGTTTGGACTGACGTTGAGAAAACTGACTTATAGTCTAACTAACTTTTATAACTGAAATTAGAGTAAAAGTCAGTTAGTGTAATGCGATTTATGTTTGGATAAGTGCTTATAAAAAGTCAGTTAAAAAAGTTAAAAGTTGTTTGGATGATTAATAAAAAAATTAGTTTAGTTATAAAATGATTGAAAAGAACATGAACTTTATTAAATAGTAATGTTTGAAATTTTATGTTTTTAATATGATATAGTTTTAAAAAATACTAAAATTATTATGATAAAATATAAATAGTTTATTTGTGAAATTATAAAATAAAAATATTTGTTACAGAGAAAAATTTGAAAGCACATTGTAGATAATTAATTAAATATACATAATGGACAAATATGAATATAAATTAAAATTTATTTAGTCTCTAATTAAAGTAAATGAAATCATATAAATAATTAGATCGTAAGCTTTGCACAATTTTCTCATAAGTCAGTTAGAAAAGTTGATCCAGGTTACGTTGGATAAGTGAGTTAGAAAAGTTACTTTTTCCCATAAGTCAGTTAGAAAAGAAGTCACATCCAAACAATCTTCTGAGCCATAATAAGTCACAAACCTCAGTTTCACGCTTCTCGATGTGCTTTTATCATTCCTTATGGCAATCCAAACGAGGCCTAACTTTGATCTTAGTTTACTCCTATATCTATATCTATATATATATATATATATATATAATATTTGTTGGCCTCCAATTGTGACTTCCTTTTAACGAAAAAACTCATGCAAAATAAGTTAATCAATACAACATAGTTGAAAAGTTGAGTGATTATGAATGCTATGTAAAATATATTTTTTTTAAAAAAATGGCATTGTGAAGTCTTTTATTTGTTCTCACAAAATTAGTGCCTCACGCTAGTTTCTAAGAATTCAATAGTCTTTGTAACTATAAAATATTAAAATACATGAGAGTAATACTAATTAATCCTCATGTATTTGACATTTTTTCCAGGAAATTCTGATTTAATGAAGGTGTAAAATTGAAAAGAAGTCTGAAAAAATGTGCATATATCCACATACATCCAATTAAGTTGCCTTCTTCTGTCCTTAATATAATAACCGGTTAACTAATTCGGAAAGATTAAAGAAATTAAATAAATTGTTTTTAAAATACTACATTCATTGTTTTCTTCCAAACTAATTTGCTCAGCTTGTAAACTGATATATAATCTAATGATATACATAAGTATTTTAGAGATCACATAGCATGTGCTCTAACTAAGGACTCTTCTGGTCCTTAATATAGAACCCAATTGTTGAGTTGGTTTTTGTTCTAAATATAAGACCCATTTCTCATATTTATCAATTTTCTCTAAATTACCCCTATGGATACTCCTTCAACCATAATCAAGTAGAAGAGGGAGAGAAGGTATTAAGAAAGATGATTATGGTGTTTTACGAAAAATGTGTCATATTTCTTATAATCAACTAATTTACCTAACTTCCTTAATCTAATCAAATTAGTTAAATGGGTTTTATATTAAGGACCGGAAGAGTAACTTTTAACTTCATTAATTTCATCAAATAAATTAATTAGATCTTATATTAAAAACTGAAAGTAGTATGAAAAATTTTATTAGATCAAGAGTTTAAGAATCAGCATCACCCCCTAATTTAATATTGACTATTAAGATTTTTTCACAACTAAGGCGAGATTATTTCTTTTGTAACACTTTCGGAGTGATATTAGCCAAAAAAATTTCTGATTTTTTTTTTATTTCACCCATACCTCTCCCTTCCTCATAACAAAATATTATTTTATGAATTTACGAAATAAAACATTGATATGGAATTAGGGGGGAAGTTAGACACAATTTCTTCAAATGCAGGGGCACTTATCCTACCAAAGACATGAGTTTCATAACAATTTGCCAAAGAAAGAAAGTTCCCCCTCCCACAAGAAAATTTCATCCCTAAAAACTATTCATTTAGACTTTCAGTCTACACAAATAAAATTCGTTTATTACAGTGTATGTTAAAAAAATATATTTGTATCATTTATTGATCAGAATAAATTGTTAATATTCACAAGTATATTGAAATGTACTCCTCCGATCCTTAATATAAGATATATTTAACTAATTTGATTAGATTAAATAAGTCAGGTAAGTTAGTTAATTATAAAAAATATGACATGTTTTTTCTAAAACACCATAATTTTCTTCTTTAATATCCTTTTTCCCTTTTTTATTTGATTACGGTTAAAGGAGTATCCACAGAGATAATTTATGAAAAAATAATAAATATGAGAAATAGGTCTTATGTTTAAAAATAAAATCAACTCAACAATTAAATCTTATATTAAGGATCGGAGGAGTCCTTCACTGTAAAATTGTTAATATGAAATACCGTGTATTTCATTTGAAGTCCTTTTTTTTTTCCGCACATATGCTTCTTGTTTTGGGGAACATTATTATATCATGCAGAACATTACTTTTTTTTTTCGCATATACTCTTCATTTTTGTATATTTAGAGACAGAGTTTTTTTTTTAATAAAAAAGGATGTAGGGACTAATATTTATTCTTAAAATCTAAAATTAGTCATCTTTAAAAAAAACTATGTTGAAAGATGAAGTGATTGTGAATCCCTTTCTAGAATAATAAAAAGAAGATATATTGAATCACTTTATGGACTAATTCAGAAACTATATAATTATAAAGACTTGCACCCTTTTTAATATCTTGAAAAATGAAGAGGGCACAAATCATTTTTTTAATGAAAAAAATTTATTAAAAAATGAACTTACAAGGGTACAGGTAAAACGAGAGATTACAAAGTAAAAACAGGCAAAAATCATTTTTTAGTAGCATGATGAAAACGAAAAGACCTTGAATTATACAACTTGCATTCTCTTCAATGTCTTCGAAAAATGAACAGACCATAAATAACTTTTTAGAACAATGAAAATGAAGAGATTCTAAATTAAATCACTTAGTGGAATAATTCTGTTTTTTTAAATTTTACGAAATAATTCAAAGAACTTTATAATTACACAAACTTTCACCCCTTATGATTCCATTTCCTTAGTGTCAAGAAAATAACGGAAAGCAAAGCTAATATATTTAATAAATGAATAAATTTCTTAATTGAGTGATTTTTTTTCCTACCAGAACTTAGTTGAGTGATTTAAGATTTTAAAAATTGAACCTTAATAATTAAAAAGCCTGAGTAGTCACCATCTTTCTTTTATTTTGTCTGGAAGAAAAACTAATAGTTATTATACCATTGATAATTATTAATAATAAATAATTAATGAATAGGAAAACAAAACAAAATGATCATGCGGTAAATGACATTTAGGACTCATTTTTAATTCATCTATTTTGCCCATCTTTCCGAAGGATTTAGTTGGCTTGTGAGTATCTCTTCCTCTTCCTTC